ATCGCTCAGTGAACCGACACTTCTCTATCCATCCTAAACAGCAAGAGAAACACACGTGTGTGCACTTTTGTAGCCTCATTGCTCACAGAGATGCCCACACATGTTCGCTCAGGCAAAAACAATATCTGTCTATACTGTCGGATCATTCTGACAGACAGACAAATGTGGGAGTGCGCTGCAGCGGTGTGTACTGTATGTGTGGATGTGATCCGGAGCCTGGAGATTGTTCAGGCACATACAGAAATCATTTCACAGTCAAATGTTCCATATGCGGCCCATTTTTAATCAAACTCCCTTCACGTCTCCAGCCTCCTCCTGCATTAGCATTTAGATTTATGTGATTACTTCAGCATGTTCCTCCCTTTGTGTGTTCATGTCTATTTAAATGTTGTGTACGCCCGCGCTCCATCAGCTTCGGGACGGAGTCTGTGCAAAGTGGAACAGTTTTTCCAGAGCGTCACCTCAGCTGAGAATTAATGGGCCTGAACTCAAATGTGTTAAAGCCTCGGTGTAAATGCTCTAGTGACCTTTGTAAGGATGCCGCATGTGCTCTGCTTGTAAAACATAAACTTTAAATCTCTATTTCTGTCTGTCCTGGTTGTTTCTGTGCATGAGTGAGTGCTCTGCAGACGGAGTGCAGCGATTGGCTGGTGAGGAGGGCTGGTCAGGATTTTAGTGATGGGAAGAACAGTTCTTTTGACTGTACTGAATCTGTAGAATCCATTCATTAAGATCATTCGTTCAAAAGATTCGTTCACCGAGTCAATCAGCACTTCGCAGCCCCATCCTGCAGATCGTGATCAATGCTACGCCCCTCGAGTCGTTCGGAAGTCATTCTTTACGTTGAGAGTCTGACTGATACATATCATTTAATCACTGTGAGCAAATCACGAGACTGCGCCCGCCGCTGGCTGGCTGGCAGTGTGTCGTTCACCTAAGAGTCAAAGGGCTCAACTGGACCAAGAAGGGAACGAATCAGCTCTTCAAGCGATTCCATTCACATCGTTCTTTTGAACATATCGTTCAGAAACGTCACGACACTTCAGGCCGTCAACATCCTCCTGTTTAAAAAGAGGCCAACGCAGTTGAATTACCTGTCAGTTATAATTTCATGATACCTGCTCCTCCTGCCGTTTTACCAAAAGCTCATCCGCATCAATTTCAAAGCCTCTGCGCACCCACACAGGTGTCCTCAGTTCCTTGGCTAATCAGCTGCAAACTGTTAGCAGCAAAGCTAACAGGAGAGTGGGAAGTTGTTGATCTAGCTCCGTCTGTACACACCCACATATTCCTGTGGATATTGAAACTATCATCACCTGCTTGGCTGAGCTGCAGGTGTGTGGTGGGCTTTAATGCACGACATGCATCCTCTCCTACTCTCTCCAAAATCACATATTTGATTTATGCAGAACCCTCTCTCTAAGTCTCACTGTTGTCCCCGTTGAAAGGTGCTGATCTACTTTCCTCTGTGTGGCGTTATGTAACTATCCCTCCATATGCGACAGTGTCAGTTTGTGTACGATGTGATTTTGCTCCAACCTAAAGAGACTCTTTCCTGGAAAACAGAGCTCATTATTATTTAAACGTGGATCCATTAACAGGAGGATCCCGCTGACGAGCGTACTCATCCCTTTCAGTGAAACCTGCCCGAGGCTCTCCGTGGAAAATGATGACAGAGCTGGGATCAAATATTAGAAGATATTACACAACAGTGACGCTTCATACTATTTTCTTAAGAGTAGCATTACAGATTGATGTTGCTTTAATGAAACTTCTGAATCGTCCAGCTGACCGATCGCATTTTAATCGCAATTAATCGCATTTTAATTGCGTATAAATATTTGACCTGAGAACAGTGAGGATCATTTTTTTTAATGGTTGAGCTATATAATACATACGTTTAAGCAAACAAAACCTTGTTTATTTTTTTTAAGGTGATAGATATTTCAATATCAGTCAAAAGCTATTAGTTATTGATAACATTTGGTAATATAATAATATCACTGTGTTTTGTTATGTCTGTATAGTCAACATTTTAAATTTTTTGAGCGACTGTAAACAAAGTCGTTTTCCACCTCCCCCAACCTGATTGGTTGTGAGGCAGACGCTGCTCCCCTGTGTCGTTCAGGAGCCCAAACAAAGTTAGCGTGCTACAATATCGGACAGTAGAAACCAACCAGAAAGTTCGGAAAGTTGTCTGAATCCTCCTTTGGCCATGACTGCCGACACAAGCAAGAAAACAAAGTAAATAACAGAGACTCTGGTGGAATAACAGGCGCTTAAAAAGGAGGTAGACCGGACAAGAGCTAAAAAGCCGGGTCAACAATAATTGGGGATAATTTTGGATCTTGGTGACCCTGTAACCTTTCTGCTGGACAGGTAAACGGCTTTAACAAAGTAAGCCAAGTGTCTGTAACAGAAGTGTTTCTTGTCAAACAGGACCTGCTGCGTGCCTATAGCCTATAAAGGACCTATCCAGTGAGCCAGAGAGTTTGTTAATTTACCTGACGTAGACGTACTCAGCTCTGAATCCACTCTTCTGGTCGAGTGTGGGTCGAGTGTGGGTTGGGTGTGGGTTGCTGTACTCGGAGTCGGACTAACATTTGCTTCCATGCTAGCTGTACTTAGAATTCAGCTGATACCGGAGGTTTGACGTGCTGCGGTGATACGCAAAATCTTTTTTTGCATAGTTTGCACAGCCAATTTTTTTATCCATCTTTTTTTTAAACAAAAATGCCCTTCCACGCCGGAGCAATTGATGGGTTAAAGTCCCGACCCTACCGAAATCTGTAAAAAGATTGTACATAGTTGAGATTTTTGATGTGCACTTGAATGATCTGAAGAGCAGATTATTGCTCATTTTTTTAGTGAGGTGTCCTTTCAGCACCCAGGTTTATTATGGGCACATTTAATATGTGGTATATACGTTTTAAGGCGTCTTTATCCAATGCCTTTTAACTGTGACTATAACGTGCTTATTCAATATAGATTTTTTGCCACTTCCAGAGAGCATACACCATTTTTCACAGTTATAACATATAATTAATCATCGGTGAATGCGCTTTTAATGTGCCCCTGTAGTATCAAACAATGCACCTTAGGGAGGAGAGCGTCTTTGATTAAACTGTAAAAGCAGCAGTGAGTCACCCTGTGAATCACTGTCTGTTCAGCACTAACCTTGCATTTTAAAAAAAACCTGAAATAAAACACAAAGTACTTTCTCTTCTTCTGTGCGCTGTCTGAATGTCCCCACGTGATTCCCCGCTCTCTGGCTGCTGGCGCTCCTCTCTCTGATACCATCAGGGGCCGCAGCACCGCTCTCGTTCGCCGCGGAGAGGAACACACTTAATGTGGCACACACACACGCAGAGAGGAACACACCGGTGACAGAACACACACGCGGCGAGCGACGCAATACACTGGCATGAGCACTGCTCGAAAATGGGTGTGGAGGGCACCTAAGCCATCTGTCTCCATAATGTCCCTTTGAAAGCATGCTGCATGCATTTGAGTGTTAAAGCACACACTTATATATACACTGAAATGCAATTACAGTCTCCATTTCTATGCAAATTTATGCATGGAGCGTTTTCTTCTTCATAAAATTTTTTGAGTTTTGCGATTCAGTTTTTTGGAAATGGGTGGGTTTGGTTAAGACAAGTAAAAGTGAGGAATCTGCTCAGCTGTCCTCGTCTTTGATATTATATATAGGGCGGGGCGATAAACCTGAGAATTTACTGACAGCGAAATTTACGACAACAATCATGTCAATATCTTCGGTGTCAAAAAAAATTAATTAATTAAAGTTGGTTTTGGATGTGTGTAGATAGGCCTGAACCTGGGATCTTGCCTGGTATGGTGCTCTGGTGCTTAAGGCTTGTTCCTGTGCCGCCATCAGATGAGTGCCTCTGTGCTGTCCTTCAGTCCAGCCATCTCCAGCCATTGGTAGGATTTGCTCATATCAGCCACTTCAGCTATCTGTCGATGGAGCCACTTCTCCAGTGTGGGGGTTACTGCCCCGAGTGCCCTGATGACCATAGGCACCACTGTTGCCTTCACCTTCCAGGCTTTCTCCATCTCCTCTTTGAGCCCTTGGTACTTCTCTTAGTTTCTCATGTTCCTTCTTACTGATGTTGATATCGCCTGGGATGGCGACATCTACCACAACGGCTTTCCTCTGCTGTTTGTCTACAATTACAATGTCCAGTTGGTTGGCCATTAACATTTTGTCGGTCTGTATCAGGATCTTGGCTCGGTCATTCTCCATCACCTTGGGAGGTGCTTCTCATTTTGACCTCAGGGTTTCCAGTCCATATTCTGAACAGATGTTCCTGTACACTCTACCGGCCAGTTGGTTATGGCGTTCCATGTGTGCTTTTCCTGCCAGCATCTTACATCCTGCTGTTAGGTGTTGGACTGTTTCAGGGCCCTCTTTGCACAGCCTGAACCTGGGATCTTGCCTGGTATGGTGCTCTGGTGCTTAAGGCTTGTTCTTGTGCCGCCATGATGAGTGCCTCTGTGCTGTCCTTCAGTCCAGCCCTCTCCAGCCATTGGTAGGATTTGCTCATATCAGCCACTTCAGCTATCTGTCGGTGGTACATCCCATGCAGGGGTTGTTGCTCCCATGATGGTTCCTCCTTACCTGTCAGTTTCCATTGTCTGAGACACTCACTAAGTGCTCCATCTCTGTGGGCCATCTCCCTGACATAGTCATGGAGCTTGGATGCTTCATCTTGGATAGTGGCTCTGATGCTCACTAACCCTCTGGCTCCTTCTTTGCGCTCTATAGCCTCTGGATACTGGACTTAGGGTGGAACCCCCCGTGCATGTTAAGCAACTTACGAGTTCTAAATATATATATATATATATATATATATATATATATATATATATATATATATATATATATATATATATATATATATATATATATATATTAAGTACATGGCTGCTTCTCCACAGCTTGTAACTAAATATCAGAGAACTGAGAGAAGCAGCTTTAGTTCAAGATCCACTAAAGTGAAGTTATTACTCCGCCAAAAGACAAAGCCCCAAAGGCCTAGTTCGAAACGTCCTTGCATCATTCCTCTTCAGTGGACTCCAGGCTGTAATAAAAGCTCTTAATTGAATCAGTTTGAATGGCTCTGGGCGACATTGTGAGGAAGGCGTTATCAGACTGTACTTCCTAGTAGCCGAAGCCCTCATTCATCCTGATTGGAGGGGAAAAAAAGATCGAGGTCTTTGATTCCTCCTTTGGCTGTTTTGATTGTAGGTCAAGTGCTGGGCGTTTGGCTGTGTCTGAGCTTGATTAAAGTGTTAATATTCAAAAATAGAAGCCTGAGGGAAAAGTGACATTATGTGGAAGTGGAAGCCCGAGCTCCAAGCCGTGGTCAAATTTGGCGGTTTGCTTTCATGCTTTCCCTTTCGTCTCTTCTGTTGTTGTTGTTGTTGGAAACAAACAGAACCCAAAGAAGAAAGAAATTCTCTCCCCCACAGAGTTTGACAGAGTGACAAGCTGGCCAGAACCACACAAAACTTCAAAATTATTCCCTCTGCAAGGCGTCTTTGATAGCTCAGTGTGGGGGCAGACGCATTACCCAGTGACTGACACAGACCACAACAAGTGTTCCCTTTTCCTTTCTCCTCATCTGCCTCTCTGTGCAGCTCTGACTCACTCATGTACAAACACAAACACATCCAGACGAACATACATGTGACACAAACACTCGTGCATGCACACACACTTTCTGCAGATGAGAACAGGAGAAGCAGGCTTTGAATTATTGAGCCAAGATGATAAAAATAGGCGTTCAAAAGGGTTGCTATTAAATATTCAGAGATGTATCTGAAGCATCCATGGTTGGTGGTGGAGAGCAGTTTCTGTGCATGCTCATTACAGAGCTGCGAGGGACTCCTCCAGGGGGGAATACGAATGTAGTTGTGCAAGTTAGGTTCCTTATCACCCTGTAAAGAAAAAGAGATATAACAGGTAATTATTAAAGAAAAGGATAAAAAAAAGAAACACCCTCACCTCTGACCAGGAAAGTAATAATTAACTAAAGCCAAAAACATACAGGATCCATATTGACAAGTTCCGTGAGCATCTAGTATTTGCACCGTAGAGCAGCGCCATGCAGCCAACATGCTCACAACAGGTTGTTTTGCCTTTCTGTGGTCGATTTCCTGCTAATTTGGATATAATTCAGTGACCGTTCAACCTCTACTATATGTGAGGAAGCAACGTGATTTTACAGTTTTGGCTTTTAGCAGGTTTACTCGTGTTTAATAAAGTAAACTATGTTCCTTTATGCTGTGCTGTTACCTGCTGTTAGCAGTTCAAAGTTCTGTTGGGGTCCACATTAGGGCCAATTTTAGCCCGTTTGAGACTAATCGATAATCGGCCAAAACTCATTGATATTTTCAGAAATAAAATGCAGAGTTTAAGATTTGGTTTCATTTCGAAAATGTTCCGCTATTTGAAAAGTTCCCTGACTTATTCTGTAGATGGCGCAGCGACCTCATGACAATCTTCATCCACTAACTACCTCACAGCTCAGCAGAGTGACGGATCTGAAGCAGGCAGCTCAGGGACGCACGGAGGAGAGTGGTCCGCCTCAACGGTAAATAAACCAGTTTGTGAAATACACAATAAGTCAACAAGTTTCAGTTCAACCCACTTCACAATGTTCCCCGCTGTGCCGGTCTCGGTCACGCCGAGTCAGTGGTGAAGCACCATGTAATATGCAAGCTAAAGTTGGAGTTAGTGACCCACTATTAGCCTTGCTACATTGTTAGCCGTGCCAGTACCTTACGTGATCGAGCTGCTTCTCTAACTGAGACAGCTGCATGTCTACAGATGAGACCAGACCGGAAATTTGTAACATGAGTTAAGACGTGGAGACACCGATCGGCGATTATATTACTGAGAAGTGTTTGAAAGGCTCAAAAGTTAAAACTTTATAAAAAATCTAAAAATTAAAAGTTAATCTGTAATCTTTTTTTTTTCTCCCCCTAATTATTGGTATCAGCATCAGCCCCAAAAAATCCATATCTGTCGGGCCCTAGTCCACATGGATCAGGGATTGACCATCTGATAGTTCTGTGTTACTGATAAATCCATAACCAGGAATTATTTCTCATCTACATGAACTGATACACAATTGGGAGTTCTCATATGGTGTTCTATTTTGAAATTTACCGGATGACAAGTACGTTTTCATGCTTGATATGGTGTCTAGATCGATCTTCTCTGTGTAGATTGACGTGTGTTGGAAGCATAGAGCAGCAAAAATAGACTTGGTGCGTATCTTTAGCAGAGCCACGCTCGATGCGCTTCTGAGACTGCGCTGATACGCGTCCTGTATACGATGCTGCGTTAATTAAAATCGGAACCTATGTGCTGCGACGCTGACTTTGCACGTTCAATACAGATCCTGTATGTTTTAGCCTTAAGAGAGTATAAAAGTATCCTCTGCAGTCTATATTGTCCTTCCCTCTCTAACCCTTGCAGGAGTCAGGGTTGCTCACACTGCTGGGGGGGCTCTGACCTAATTACATGGCTGCAGCCTAAGACAGCTTACAGTAAGTTTCACATGTTCAGAAACAAAGCCCCAAACCACAATTCACGATTCACTCCCACCACATGAGGAGAGGGTTGAGCAGAAGGGATCATCATCCAGCTCGCAGCACTTTAAAAACTAACGAATATTCACTCAAACTTCATGACTTTACCTGCTTTATGAGAGGATAATGACTAATATTTCAGTGTGTCAGATCAATTTAATCATTTTCTGCGGCTTTTAGTGCCTTTGGAAATGTCACAGTGGGACCTGGCTCTCTGTCGACAGATCTAACCCTGAAGAAAATGTGGGGAAAAAAAGAGAATCGGCCTCGTCAGCTCGCAGGCGCATGTCCGCTGTATTCTAGCGCTGCTTTCTTTGGAGGTCAAGGTTTTTTATACCATTAGCAGAATAAATTAGTGAAGCTTTGGGCGACTGAATGCAAATGAATCTATGATGAAAAGAAGCTCATGTGTCCGGAGCATTAAACAAACCATTACCAACACCTATGCAGTTTTCATTTCTTGACTGTTAACTTTGTCAGATCAGTAATAAATACTCATTCAGTTATTTCTGTATTTCTGCTGTCTTGTAACTCTGCAGAATTATTCGCTCTAGCTGTATATAAGTATACAGTTTCACCCTGTTCAGTTAATTTGTAGTTTTGTATGAAATGACTGAAGTGGTCGCCTAATGCGGTGAAGAAATGACTGAATTTCTCAATTATATTGAGACCTTGATTGTGGTTGATGGAGGGGTCGGGGCAAAGTTTTTATGACCGAGTGTTCACGTTGCCATGGTTACTTGCTGCACCCACCTTGCACTGATTGGAGGAGAGAGAGAGAGAGGGATAGAGAGAGCTGCTGCTGACGGAGATCAGTTAGAGTAGCATACATCCTTTTTACTCGATTAATAATGCTGATTTTAACATCAACTGTAGGTTTTTTGTTTCTCTGTCAATCATCATTTTAGATTTAAATAATATCACACTTAACTTTTTCATATTTTGCTAGTTTTGTTATTTTTCCTCTTTTTTTTATATACATATTTTTTGCATAGATCTAAGTCAACCTTTTTTAATTATCTGTGCACCGTGTGCATGATAATTGCACTTATTCTTTCATGTTCGCTCTGCCGCCGTAACATGACAAATGAATAAAGGTTTATCTTATCTAATCTTAGTCCTTCTAGAGGCTCACGCTGGGAAACTAAGAGAGCGCTAAATAACTTTGACAGCAACAAGCTGCTGCAGGCGTTATCTATCAGGAGTTATCACTCTGCAATTATTGCATTTAACAAGATTTAACAGCAGAGGATACACGCACGACTCGCCAAGCACCTGCACACAAGTTTACCGATCATAGACGCCGATGGTGTTACCCGGTGAGTGCATGAGACCCGCTGCCTTTATCAGAGTTTTTCAGCATTATTTTGTATGTTGCAGCTGCATCAATAAAACAAACACAGGGATTTGTTGCATCTGAAGAAAAAATAACCACTGGGATAAAATAAAGGGGTATAACCTAGTTAAAGCACAAAGTAAACTACAGCACTCTTGTTAAAGTAACACCCACAGCACATGTCACACAATAACAACAGCGCTTAATCTATGAGATAGAGTTACACTGCCGGATTAAAAAACTCTGCACTTCATATATGTGCGAGCTCCTTAGAGAAACCATGTCACACGCGGCCATGTAGTTTATCTCCACGGTAATGACTGAAATCGCACTAAATTAAGCTTCTCATTGTTTGACTAACATACCTCGGTAATGCAGTTTAAATTTTCTTTTACTTTAATTAGACCATCAACTTGCCTCAGCATCCTGCACACTTCACATGTTGGGCTTTGACTCTGAAGTAGAACAGCAAAAGGGCGGGTAGTAAGCAAAACTTTTTGCTAAGGTGTTTTTGATTGTTTTGGTTCATGATGTGGCAGGTCAGCCGGGAGATGGCGCCATAGCAACAAGCTGAAGGGGGAATGTTGCCACATACTTTACCTAAGGCAGACATGAATCCTGGGTTCATCACCAAACCAGTGAACGACACAAAGTTTGCATTAGGGCTGGGTGATAAACCGAAAATTTACCGATACCAAATTTACGTCAATAACTGACGTCATTTTGCCAAGACGCTGTCCTACATCAGAGACGTGACTCCACCCCATCCAGTCCGTAACAAAGAGGGAAAGACAGGTGAGGAGATGGAGGACGGTTCAAAAGTTGTAGCGGCTGAAGTAGACGAAGTTAATGTGGGAGGGGGTGAGCAGCTTGTGGAGTAGTTATCGTCCATTTATCTTTATCGAGGTGAACTGCTCAATATATCGTGATATTGATTTGAGGCCATATCGCCCAGCCCTAGGTTGCCTCACTTCATGGTCCAAAATGTGTCTCATCTTTCCCAGGATTGCTCTGATTCTCCACCGTTTTCCTCTTTTGCATTCATCATGAAGTTTCCAACAGATTTTGTTTTACAATATCACACCTGGAGAGTCATTTTCACACACTCTTTCAATTCGAGCGTTATTTGTACATCTGTGTTTACTCCAAAATTCCCAAACAGCATTTTCATCTGTTCAGGTACAGTCAGTTCTCTGCAGTAACTTCGGTTTATTAGTGATTCTCAAACATAAAGCAGAGGAGATTAAGCTTCATTACTCTGAATTGTTTTATGTCTATTCAGTGTTCATTTTACATTAGCAGCGTGTGCAGTGACTCACTGATTATTCCCTCTCATACGTTTAAATGTAGCTCGGTGAAAATAAGGCTGATTTATGCTAATTCCACTTTTAATGCTGTCCTCAGTAGACCTCGCACCTTTTCTCCCTCTGTTACTGATAAAAGCATTACTTCTTTTACAATAATCATAATGCAGAATTATAAAAATCCTATAAAATAAGCACCGGCGGATCATTCGTCTTCTTTACGCACAATAGGAAACAGGTGTATTCAGCTCAAAGCAGACGTGAGAGGTGTTTCATTTAGAGCCGTCCTTGTGTCAACCACAGGAACCTGACATGCCCTTCGTGTTTGATGGAGTGCTCTGTGCGCACAGTCCATCAAAACATCTCCATGTGGTCTCTGCAACATCCCGACCAGGTGAGAAGACATTAGCGCGGAGCAGGAGAGGTAAAGAGCGAAGATAGGTTCATGAAGAGAGACAAGAAGATTCAAAAGGTCTGAAATTAGATGATGAGGGTAAAGAAGGACAGACATGCAGTGGGGAGGGGATGAAGGTCACATGGAGGGCGGTGTAATAAAAGAGTAAGGGGGTATTAGAGGATTGGATCAAGAGCAAAAATAAGGCTTAAGCAGACAAACAAGTGAGAGACAGGAGAGTGGAAAAGGTTAAAGATAAATATACCGAGCAAAGACAAAGACAAAGACGGGAGTGAGTGAAGACACATAAATAAGCAGAGTGGATGAAGGAGAGACAGACATGGAGAGAGGGACTGTGCGAGTGTGTGTTGCAGAGAAATGAGCGAGGCAGAGAGCGAGGGGGGAAGCCCGGCAGATCTTGTCTGGAGGGGAAATTGCATTGCTAAGGATTTATTGCTTCAAGTGTAATTGGGTTCAACCAGCGCCAGGAGAGAAAATCCATTGAAGTCTCCTCTCCTGAGCGGTGGAGAGCAGGTTGTTGATCTGCCGTGACTCCCACCTCCCTGCTGCTGCTGCCGCCACCGCTGCTGCAGAGCGAGGCATTAGGGCCCAGATGAGGCAGCCGTGATTTTCCACCCTGAAATGAACAAACCTGAGCTCAGCTCTGGGGGGCTGCTAACAAGGAAAACCCCATTCTATTCAATTGATTGTGAGCTGCTTTGTCTCTGATGTCAGTTTGACTCTGCTTCACTTGCCTGGGCTGTAGTGTTAGCTCTATTGTTGGAGCTTCACTGTTCTAATTCCATCCTCTGCAGAGGTGAACTAATGCGAGGAGAAAGAAAGAAAGTCACCACTGCTGCACCATGCACCTCTTCTTTATTTATGGTATTTTTTCAGGAGGTGGGTCCAGGTGGCCTCTCTCTCCTCTGCAATCGTCAATTCAATCCACTCCCTGTTGCAATAGGCGAAGCAATGCGAGCAAGCGACTCGAAAAGGCAGATGTTTCGCTGGTGAATTTTTTCTGTACACACCGGGTGCAACTTGATAATGCAAATGAAATCTGTTAAGCGAATAAAGTTAGGCGCTTTTTCTTTTTCTTTTCTTCATATACAAACGTTTAAGTTGCCCTGCGCTGGTTAGTAAGCTAGCTTAGCTTCATGTTATGGTAGCTATGTTACACATCCATGTTTGAGGATTGATAAAACATCAATATACTGACCAGGTAAGTTGAGGTCTTCTTCTTTTTCCTGCCGTATATTTTCTTTGAGGAGAGTGTCGTGGAATATTTTAATGATAAAGCGCTCAGTCATGGTGAATGAATGCAGACTAGGGCTGATGCTGCCAGTAAAGTCTGGATGTCACAGCGTCGATATTCCAACACCATTTTGATTGGTCAGCGAATAAATAACAGTCGCTTTTTTGCTTAGTGAAATTTCACTGCCGGTGTGTAAGGACCTTCAGACTTCTTTCTGATACTACAAACTAGGGCTGGGCGTTAAACGATAACGATATGTATCGAAAAATAATTGCCCTCAATGTCAATATAAAACATGGTTAGTATATGGTCAGGGAAGTTTCTCCGTGTCGCCACAAAAACGTCGGTGTCGAGTACATGTTTTCACAAAGTCTGGGATGCCTCAAATCTTTTTCACCACCTGAAGTAGCGCCACGCGGCAGAGCACATGCAATGCAAAAAGTTATAAACCTCTGTAAACCTGTGGCGCCTGTGCAGCCGGAACAGCTGACCATTCAGTCCACTTTCTCTAGCGCAACGCCTTACGAGAAAAAGTCGAAGAGACACAAAGACCTCACAGATGCAGTAGCTCATTGTATCGCAAAAGACATGTGACCAATAAGCACTGTTGAATTTCATTTGTTATATTATGATATATATCAATGTAGGAGCCAAATATGTTGATGTGATAACATATGATCAGCTGCAGTTCACTTTGTGTGCCTTGGGTGTCG